AAGTGCAGGGGTTGGGCGAGGGCGGGACAGCCCCTGATTGCAAGAGAGGGGAGAACGGCGGGTACGAAGGCAATCCCACTCGGCCGTCGTTCCACAGTTGTCGGCTTTCACGGTTGGTGTGGCTGTTTTTTCAGGTGGGGACCACGGAAGGGTCAGAACAAAGAGGGTGTTGCAAACCCACCAGAGTTGCGGACTGCTGATGGGCAGGAGGGCCCCGCTGAGCTAAGGGGTCCAAGTCCCATAGATCCCCAAAAAAAAACTTCATAATAAAACCCTTCCAAGCAGGGAGCCCCTGGCAAGGCTGGGGAACCCCAGCCTCTGAAGTCCCCGGGACAGGTGATCACAAGCCCCATGGCCCCCCCCCCCCCCCCGTACGTGAGGACCTGCCACTCCCAAGCCGTGTGCATTGCAAATAACAAGCGGCGACAGCAGGTCACCCCACAAAACTCTTAACCTCCTCGCCCACCCAAAGACAACCCCCTAGAAGGGCCGAAACCCTTTTCCTTTAGCCAAAAAAGTTCCAACATCGCAGAGGGCGCCTGCCGATGACACGGCTTGGGAAAATGGGGGACACCCAGGTCTTGCAAAGGCTCCTTCAGGTCAGAGAAGCCCACCCATTTTCTTACATTGGAAAGTCGCTGGCCAAGCTGGGCGCGGCGTGGGCTGCGGGTGGGGACGTTACGAAATTTCCTTTTCTGGCAGGATGTACGATTTAGAAAGACCTTGCTTCAAACGCAGCCAGCCGAACAGGGCCCGGGTGGAAGGGCCGGGTCTCCTGGCAGAAAGCCCCGAGCCGGGGACGCGGGGTTAGGCAAACCTCTGCCCCCGCCGGATAAGGCTCCCCCGTTCCAGAATTCAGCTCAGGATCAGAAACACAGCGGCCACAGCAAAACAGTGACAGGGTCATAGGTGATGCGGATTCTGGGACACTTGGAAGGCACTTTGGAGTCCCTGAAGCCGGGGTGGCGGGGTTTGACTCCCGGTGGCCCTTCTGCAATGGGAAAAGCTGTTTGAATACTGCTTTCACACGGGGAAGGTGTGCGGGTGGCGGAGTCGCCATGCTGCGTTGGAGTCTAGGAGGTTCACGGGGCAGCCTCAGGGACTGCACTGAGACCTGGCAAATGGTTCCAACCCGGAAGGCACTGAGGCTGGCCTTCCATCAAGGCAGCTGGGGCATGCCACCCTCAGCTACCCTCCTTAACGCACCTAGAAAAGCAGCCAACTCGTTCGTGCCAATGTCCCCAGGCCTCGGCCTCCAATGCAAAGTGGAGGCCCCATGGTCTGCCACCGCGGGTCTGGGCCGCCTGAGCAGGCAGGCTGGGCGTGAGCCATGCGGGACAGGGGGGCAGCTGGCAGGAGGGAAGGGGTCACCCTGAGCTTGAAGACAGCCCTTGTGGCTCATGCCTGGGTCGCAGTCCCTGCAGAGGCAGGACGGGGGTGGAGGGGGTCCGGGGACCATCTCTAGCAGCTGCAGCTGCTGGGCTGTGGGGGCGGGGCGTCCCCCAGGGCCGGGCCTTTCCCGTTGCTGCCTGGGCTGGCGCTGGGTTCCAGGGACTCGTTCATCTTCTCGCAGATGACATCCACCAGGCGCTCGAACACCTGCTTCACGTTGATGTTCTCCTTGGCGCTGGCCTCGAAGAACTCAAAACCTGGATGGGGGCATAAGGCGGGGACATTGGTGAGACCCCGGAGGCCGGAGTTCCAAGCCTGGATCTGCCCTCTGCATGCCTTTGCCTTCTTGAACCTCAGTTTGCTCATCTGTAAAATGGGAACAGTCTTACAGCTGATGATAAAAATCTGCAGTGGCAGCAAATCTGGACCATCCTAAAGCTCACTCTGCCACAAGGCAGTGGCTGCAGGAGTCCTGGTGCCCAGCAGGCATGGGAGGGGCGCCCACAGGTGGCTCGGCTTCCGCCCACTTTCTTTCTTTATTTTTTTCTTTTTTTTTTTCTGAGACACGGTCTCTTTTGCCCAGGCTGGAGTACAGTGGCATCATCATAGCTCACTGCAGCCTTAAACTCCCAGGCTCAAGCGATCCTCTTGCCTCAGCCTCCCAAGTAGCTACAAACACTGTGTGCCACACGCCTGAGTAATCCTAGCACTCTGGGAGGCCGAGGTGGGAGGTTCACTGGAGCTCAGGAGTTCAAGACCAGCCTGAGCAAGAGTGAGACCCCGTCTCTACTAAAAACAGAAAAATTAGCCAGGCGTGGTGGCACTGAGCCTACAGTCCCAGCTACTTAGGAGGCTGAGGCAGGAGGGTGGCTTGAGCCCAGGAGTCTGAGGTTGCAGTGAGCTATGATGATGTCACTGCATCATAGCAGGGGCAACAGAGCGAGACTCTGTCTCAAAAAAAAAAAAAAACAAAAAAAAAAAACAAAAAAGAAAGAAAGAAAGAAAAGGTTTGCTGAGCTGAGCATGGTGGCTCATGCCTGTAATCCCAGCAACTTAGAAGGCTGAGGCAGAAGATCTCTAAGGCCAGGAGTTCGAGACCTGCCTGGGCAACATAGCTAGACCCTGTGTCTAAAAAAATAAGAAAAATTAGCCGGGCATGGTGGCACACACCTGTAGTCTTAGCTACTCGGGAGGCTGAGGCAGGAGCATGGCTCTGGCCCAGGAGTTCAAGGCTACAGTGAGCTGTGATCGTGTCACTGCACTCCAGGCTGGGTGACAGAGTGAGACTCCATCACTAAAAAAAATAAATTAAAAAATGCAAAAAAGAAAAGGTTTGCCAATCTCTAGCTAGAGGAAGCAGCCATACCCACTATTCTGCCATTTGATTTTTCCACTTAACCATAGATCCCAAAGATCTTGCAATATCAGAACATAAAGAAAGTCCCTTCATCCTTTTCTGTGGCTGTATAGTATTCCACCATGTAAAGACACTTTATGTTCAGTTGGTCCCCAGTGTAGAGCATTTGGGGGGATTCGAAGGCTTGATTCCAACCAAAAGTGCTGGAACTTGCTCTACAGGCCACCTCCCACGTGGGTAAGCACATCTGTAGGATACATTTCCAGAAATAGTTTCGCTGGGGTTCCCGGGGCACGGGCAGTGAGGCGGGGGTGGGGGGTGGGGTTCCCGTGGATGGATCTAGTGAAATTAAATGGAGAAGGCGGCACACACGTGGGCACGTTTCTGGGCAGTGACTCGAAGGGCGGATCGTGGCTGTTGAGCGTGGGACCCGAAGGTGGGGACAAGGGGTTTGGTTCTGGGAGAGCCGGGGCCTGTGGCCCAGGCTGGGCACTAACCAAGGTCGTCAGCGAGCCTCCGGCCGTCCTCGGCAGGCACGACACGCTCGTCCTCCAGGTCACACTTGTTCCCCACGAGGATGACCTGGGCGTTGTCCCAGGAGTAGGTCTTGATCTGGGTGGCCCTGTGGAGTTGCCAGGTGTGAGCCACAGGCCCGGGGCTGGGCGTTGGGGGGTCAGGAGTGAGCAGTACTCACCAGTCCTGCACGGCCGCAAAGGACTCCTGGTTGGCGACATCGTACATGAGCAGGAAGCCCATGGCGCCGCGGTAGTAGGCCGTGGTGATCGTGCGGTAGCGCTCCTGGCCCGCCGTGTCCTGGGCAGACGGCAGCGTCAGGCGGCTAGAAGCCACCCAGTTCTCCACCCCACCCCTGCAGGGCCCTCCCTGTCTGAGAGGGACACCGCCCGGTGCTCACAGCCCCAGTGTGATGGGGGAGGCACGGACTCAGTCTCAAGGGACTGTCCCCAGAGGGTGCCATCTCGATAGGACACCTTGGTGCTGTTACGACAATACTCCTTCCCTGCAGCTGGGCTGGCGGAGGAGAGAAGTGTGGCTCTGAAGAACAGACAGGCTCATCTGGTGGGGCCGGGGGGCTGTCCCTGGCCTTGACCCTGAGATGGTACCCAAACCTCTTCCCCATGCCCTTTTTTTTTTTTTTGAGACAGAGTCTCACTCTGTCACCTGGGCTAGAGTGCCGTGGCATCAGCCTAGCTCACAGCAACCTCAAAGTCCTGGGCTCAAGCGATCCTCCTGCCTCAGCCTCCCCAGTAGCTGGGACTATAGGCATGCGCCAACACGCCCAGCTAATTTTTTTTACTTTTAGTAGAGATGGGGTCTCGATCTTGCTCAGGCTGGTCTCAAACTCCTGACCTCAAACGATCCTCCTGCCTCGGCCTCCCAGACTGGGGGGATTCCAGGCGTGAGCCACTGTGCCCGGCCCCCCCCCATGCCTTCAGTGGGTACTTAGTACCTTGGGTCAGACTCCGACTCAGACCCCAAGGACCAGTCCTGAGTCCCCTACCCCCACCCCAACGCGGGGCACGTCCCTTCCTCCTGATGCATCCGCCTCCTAGCTAATACACGCCCCTACTCTTTAATCCTCCTCCAACCCCCTCCCCAACTCTGGCCTGTGCCCCCCCCAGGAACCCCCCCACACACACCATAGCCTGAACCCTCCGTGAACTTCCTTGGGGACCCCCCACCCCTCCCACGGTCCGGGGCCTGGCCCACCCACCCAGATCTGCAGCTTGATCCTCTTGTCGTGGCGGTAGACGGTCTTGACCTTGAAGTCGATGCCCACGGTGCTGACGAAGGCGGGCGTGAAGGAGTCGTCGGCGTAGCGGAACAGGAAGGACGTCTTGCCCACGCTGCTGTTGCCGATGAGGAGCAGTTTGAACATGTAGTCGAAGTTCTGGTCTGCCGCGTCCCGGGGGCCCGCGTGGGGGTCTCCGGCCGAGGCCATCTTGGAGGGAATCTCCTTGGGGGGGAGCCCTGAAATCCTCAGACGGGGAAGGCTGGAGCCCTGCAGGGATTAAAACACCAGTGACCTCTCGGGTGTATACACACACAGGGCCCGGGTTCGAATCACCCCTCTGCCACTTGGAAGCCAGGTGACTCTGGGCGCCGTCGCTTGCTCTTTCTGGACCTCAATGTCCTCTTCTGGAAAATGGGATATTTGTCATAGTGCCTTCCTGAAAGGGTGTTTGGTTGTAAGGCTAAAATGAGTTTCTTTATTCATTCAACAAACACTTATTAAGTGCCGACTCTGCCGGGCCCTCTTCTCCGAGGAGACACAGCTGGGAGTAAGACAGGGCAGAGCCCACCCTCGGGGAGGTCACATTGCTTCCAGGGGGAGGTTACTAACGCACGCAGCGGTCATAAGACAGTGCCTGGCGTGGAGTCCGGGCTCAGTGAATGTGACTGCTGTTTCATCTTCATGCCCTCTGGCAAAACTGAGTCTTTATTAGGATGCGGGGCAGGGACACCCCTTTTGGTTTTGAGGCCCAGAGAGCTGGCAGAGGGTTCAAATGCAGGGTGCCACCTCTGGCTGCAGAGGAACCAGACTGCAGGCGTCGCAGGTGTGGACTTTGCCCCGATGTGAGCCATTGGCGTGGCCCAGGTGTGAGCTGGGGGGACCTGCCAGCTGGACAGAGCCCCCCCCCAGGGGCTGCGTGTTGACTTTGGCAGGTGTGAGACACCGGGGTGCCTGCGCTGCCCCAGCCCCAGCTGAGTTAACCCCTTCCCTGAGCCCCAGGTGTGGGGGGCAGTTTCTGCAGATGTGGCCCAAGTCTAAAGCCCGGCTCTACCCCCAAATGGGCATTTCCATCTTCTATTTGCCAAAGGGGCTGGGCCTGTGTCCCTCTGGCCAAGGCTGACTCACGCCAGCCCAAGCCCCAAGCCACCGCGGCAGGAGCGAGAGCCCTCAAATCCTAGGAAGCCATCCTAGCCACCAAATGACACACCCCACCATCAGGACCCCAGCCGCCCCCACCCCGCCCTCCCCCCCCCAGCCAAGCTGTCCTACTGGGCTGCTGGCATCCGCCCACACTGCAACATGCTGCTGCATCCCGATCCAGGGCGCTCCCTCAGCTCTCATCCCCTCCGCAGGCCTCAGTTTCTCCAGCTGTCAAAAGCTGCTACCTGAACTGCCCAGGGAGGGTGCAGGAGGCCTGGATGAACGGAGGGCACACCGGCAGAGGAAGCCCTGGCGAGGCTATTTCTCAACCGCCTTTGGGGCTTCTTGCCATTTTAAACGCGGACCCAAGCGGCCCCACCCCGTGTTCCGGGAGAACGAGTTTGAGGAGGGGAAGAGAAGTGGCAGGAAAGCTTTCCCCACGCCGGGCAGGGCCGCCGGGCTGCGCCCGCCCCACCCCAGCCCACCTATCGGTTAGTCGGTCCGTCTCTTCCGCCCACCTGCCCACCTGCCCACCTGCCCACCCTCCCCGAGCCCGGCCATCCGAGGCGCCCAGCAGGTGCAGGGCAGCTCCCGCATCACATATGGTCCCATCGCCGGCCCCCCGCTGGGCTCCCCGCCCCGCCCGCACCCCGCTAGGGCTCCCGGCTGAGCCCAGCTGGGTGGGGGCGAGCGCAGGGGCGTTCTCGCGGGCCCGCCTTTGTTCTCCAGGCCCCCGGCCCTCCCCCGGCCCCCAGCCCCGGCCCCGGCCCCGCTCGGGCGCGGAGAGGCGGGGCAGGGTGCGCTCCCTCCCAGGGGCTCACCTCGCGTGGGGGGCGCCGCCCGCCGGGGTTCCGCCTCCGAATCCGCTGCGGTCTGACCCAGGCCGCGAACTTGGGCCCGCAGCCGCCGCCGCCGCCGCCGCAGACACCCGGATCCCGCTGCGGGCTCCGCCCAGGCGGCGGGGGAGGGGCCGCTCCGGGGGGCGGGGCGGGGCCGAGTCCGGGGCGGGGCTTGTAGATCGCGGGTGGGAGGGGCTGAAAGCTACCGGGCGCCTCTAGACCCCACCCCCTGCCATCAACGTCTTTTTTCCCAGCTACAAAAGGAGGGCTCATATTATACCATATGCACAGCGGTTCAGAGCGCGGACTCTGCGGACGGGTTCAAATCCCGGCTCCACCACTTTCTAAATCTTGTGACTTTGGGGTTGTTGCTTAACTTCTCTGGGCCTCAGTTTCCCCACCTGCCAAGTGGCCCCTAATAAGAGTACCCGCTTCACAGTGTGAGGATTGTGATCTGAGTTAGCGTCTGTAAAGTGCAGTGCGTGGCCATAAAATGGCCTGGACGCCCTTGTTAAATACTCTTAAGGCCTCTTGGAATTAAACCTCCTTTTACAAATAAGGAAACCAAAGCTCAGAAAGGCACAGCTCTGGTCAAGCATGGTGGCTCACACCTATAATCCCAGTATTTTGGGAGGCCAAGGCGGGAGGATCATTTGAGGCCAGGAGTTCAAGACCAGCCTGAGCAACAGGGCAGACAACCCTCCTCCCCATCTCCAGAAAAAAACAAGAAAAAATAGCCAGGCGTGGTGGCATATGCCTTAGTCTCAGGTACTTGGGAAGTTGAGGCAGGAGGATCGCTTGAGCCCAGAAGTTCAAGGCTACAGTCAGCTATGATGGTGCCACTGCACTCTATCCTGGGTGACAAAAACCAAAGGGGGGTGGGGGGCAACCCCTTTGCCTGAAGCTGCACAGTAAGGACATGTGGCACCCAGCCCCAGCTGAGGTCCTAGAGTTTTCAAGTCAGCAGGAAAGAGTGTGTAGTTATAATAGCTAAGCCAAAATTATCTGAGCCCCCACTGCCTCATGGGAACAACAGTAGCTGTCTCCGTGGGCTTCCACGTGGGTGAACTGAGATGAAATGCATGAGTTAGGAAGGGCTGGGTTAAGCTTGGTAACACGTAGTCCCAATGAGCCCATGGCCCCAACAGTCAAGATGTACTTCTGATTGTTGTGGTGGTGACAGAAAAATGTATTAACAGCAAATCATGCACTGTCTTGTAACGCTTCTCCGCAGAAGTGACACGTGCCCCCTCTGCTCACATTTCATTGGCCAAAGCAACTCACGTGGTCACCTCAAATATCAGTAGGTTGCAAAATTTGTCCTCTAGAATCGGAACCAGCTATTGTTCCAATGACACATGTATGTGCAATGGTTAGCACCATGCCTGGCATACAGCAGGTGCTCTGCAATGGCAATGCACGTGCTCTGCATTGTAGGCGAGGCTTTCGGGCTGTAATGGCTAACACTCCAAATCATTGTGCTTTGTGAATGGAGAAACTGAGGCCTCTTCTCTACCTTGCCCTCCCCTCCCCTTGCTTCTCATGGGGAGGGGGACAAATGACAGCAGCCAATTCCCAAGAAGCGTTTATTGACATGCAGGGTCAAGGCTACAGGCTCTCGAGGCTCAGCGCGAGGCCGGCGAGACAGAGCCCGTTGCTCAGGAGACAGCCCAGATTGCAAAGGGTGGACATGCCATGGTAGCGGAAGAAATTCTGGCGGAGGGCACTGTATTTGGGGTCCTTCTCCCGCAGCTGGCGGTAGGGGTCAGGGCCCTGGTGGCTGCCTGCCACCTCCCCGCCCAGGCCCCGCTCCTTCTCCACGGTCTGCAAGGCCCACATGGCAGCCGTAGTGCGGGACTCCAGCCAGCGGGCGTTGACGGTGGCCAGCGTAAGACTCAGGAACAGGAGACAAAGCTGGCAGGGATGGCAGGGGACAAAGTGAGCCATGCCCTAGGGAGGGCCCTCGTGCCTCCTCATGGCCCAGAGTCGGATACAGGACAGTACTGGACAAAGCTGGCCACCCCCTCTTTCCCGGAGCCCAGACTGAGGTCCCCAAAGCAGAGCTCCAGCTCTTGTACCCTGAAACTGGCTGCCCCTAAGGCGAGACTCCATCCCCACCTCCTCTGTCCCCCCAAAGCCTCCTGAGCCTCATCTCTGATACACAGACTGGACGTCGGCAGGGCAGGGTCTTCTCTCCTCTGCAGCCCCAGCCCAGGCCCCAGAAGCTGACACTAGGCCCACAGAGGGAGGGAACAAAAAGTCTGTGAAGTTCCAGTTACTCATAACCCTCTCCTGTCTCCGTGAGATCATTCTTGAAACACCCATCAGGCCTCATCTGCCCACATGTGAGGGACACGACAGGGGCAGGAGGAGGGCAGGGAAGAGAAATCTGAGATGCAGAGGTAGTCCCTTGCCTTGTGGCTGGGGAAATGTGTGGATGGGGTAGGAAACCGTAAATCCCCAGTCAGGCTAGTTTTCAAACAATGAGCCGGGGTCAGCACCCCAGCCCAGCTGAGTCACCACAGCTTGGCGGCAGGCCCAGCCAGGAGGAGGAGAGGGAGCAGCAGCCAACAGACGGACATGGTGGGATAGACGGGGCTGCTGGGGACAGTTGTTCAGGCTGTGCACTGCTCAAAGGTATCCAGAGCCCAGCTTTGTATCCACCAGGGAGAAGCAGTACTTTTATTTTCTTTCAAAAAGGTATAACTATTGGGGGTCCGATGGTTGAGGTCCCAAGAACAAGTGTCCAGAGAGTAGTGGCACCCAAGCCCGCATACCTGGCTGGCCTCCCAGAGTGTGAGCTGAGCCCAGGCATGCTGTGCAGCCAAGATGCAGAGGTTGATGAAGGCACAGCTCATGGAGATGTGAAAGTAGAAAGGGAAGAGTTTGCTCTGCACTAGGCCAAAAGTATGTCGGGGAAGGCCTCAGAAAAGCAGGAAACCTGTGGGGTGGGGGTGGAGGGCCACAAGCCTGTTAGGACACTTTTATTTCCTCCTCCCACTTCTGTCCCCATCCCTGGTACTCCATGACATCAAGGCCGAGGGTCCCTACCTGAAACGAAGGTCACCCACATTTGCATGCCCCAGGCACCTGACAAGACCAGTAGATGGACCACCTTAATCAGGCCTCCGGGGCTCCCGCCTTTCTCCATCTCGCGGCCCTGGGAAGGAGGCACCGGGTGGCTCAGAGCCTTATCTTTGCACCGTGGCCTTCAGACCCTGTTACCCAATCCGGCAGAGATCCAGGGAAGGCAGCCCAGAAACGACAGTGAGATAGACCCAAATCAGGCTTGTGACAACCCCCGCCCCCATCTCCCCAAATGTCAGCCCTGAAGATCTCAGGATCTCTGGACCATACCATGCACACCACCTCAGAGACCCCCACATTTCAGCCCGAGCAGCTCAAGCTCACAGCCCCAGGTCCTCAGTCACCCCGGCGACTCCCGAATGTCACCCGGGGATCGAGTTCTAACAGTGAAGCCCCCTTCTCTTATAAGAGGATCGCGGATGGCACGTGAAGATCCCCAAGGCGCCCTCGCAGGCCCGATCTAATCCTGGGAAACCCCACATCTCAACCAGAGGACGCCGGCCCACCACTGGGAACTCGGACCTCAACCCGCAGCACCCAGAGTCCGAGATCAGAGGCCCCGGGGCCAGACTCGCTGAGCTCGGTACCTCACTCCGGCGCTCCCGGGCGGACCGTGGACCTCTCGGGCCTTCTCCCCTCGAGGGTCCCTCCCTCTCCGAACCGAGAACTTGTCCCGCCTCCCAGCTGAGCCCCGAACCAATCGGATTATAGATCTGCCGCCTTCTGGCCGATCTGCCGCCCGCCCTCTTAGGTATTGGCTAATCGATAAGCAGAAACCCGCCTGGGATCCCGCCCCACGTCGGGCTGCTATCCAATTACACCGCAGCTGCTAAGAGGGGCGGAAGCGGGTAAGGCGCCAATGAGGTCTTCGGCCACCACGGCGGGGGCGGGGCTAAGGTGCCGGCCACACCCCTCTCTGTGACTCTCGCTTTAGCCTCTCCGCGTCTTAAAGCTATGGTGCCCCTGCGGGATCAAATTTCAGCGTCACAGCTGGGGACTGGCTTCGCGGTCCTTGGTGGGAGAGCATGAATAGGTGGTATGTGGCAGGTGGGAGTGGAAGGGGGTTGGGAGCGGGATGGGCTCAGGATTCACAGCCCGGGGGCGGGGCCCAGCCTGATGACCCCGCCCCCTTCCCCAAAGAATTCTCCCGGGAGCGACTGCGGAAGAAACAGCCGAGGCGGGAGGGGGAGGGGAGGCACGAATGGGGACCTGCCTGCAGTTGGCGCTCAGAAATGCCTCTCCTTCTCCCCTCCAAGCCCCCCGGGGCTCCCATGGTCCCAGGTCCCAGGTTTTCAGAGTGACATTCAAGAACAAACATTGAGCTTCCCATTACTATAGCTAGGCACTAGCATGGATTAATTTACTTAATCACGACAACCCAGTAACTTGGATACTATATCTCATTCATAGTTGGGGACATTGATGCATGGAGAGGTTCAGTAACTCTTCCAATATCACACAGCTGGGTAGGGGCAGAGCTAGAATTTGAACCCAGGCCATCATTCAACTGACAGGTCTCCTTCCTCAATTATGCTCTACTGCCTCTGGAAGAGAGGACCTCCCTGAGGCAGTGCCTCTTGAAGGAATACCCTAGGACATTTCAGGCAGAGGAATAACCTGTACATCACAGATTGGGTGTGCAGATCCAGTGAATGCTTAGGGGCTGTCCAGCACTCAATGAACCTACAACAGGATTAAGGAAGATTTTACAGAGGATATGATGAATAGGGTTTTGAAGGGTGTATAGGAGTCTTCCAGGCAGACTGAGGCAGGGGAAGGACACCAGGCAGAAGGCCCAGCAAGGGCAACAGAAGAGAAAGGTCTAGATGGTTTGGGGAACAGGCTGAGTGTGACCTTTTTTCCTAGAAGTTTTTCCAGGCAGACCTGCTAGAGATTTCTGCATCTGTGCCAACCCTAACTATCCTGGAGGGGGAGGGGACATAGATATGAGACCCAGAGCTGAGTTCTTTCCTCTTCCCAGCCTCACCTAGCACAGGCCTGGGCACCAATTCAGCTAACATTTATTGAATAGATATGCCCTGACTCTCTCCTGCACACTCTATGGCTCCTATTTACCTGTGGGGCCAGGTCCAAACTTGGCCTTGGCCTTCAATGCCTGACTTGAGTTGTCCTGCCAACCTCCTCCTCTTTCTCTTGGACCCTGCCTTCAACCATCCAGCACAGAGCACATGGTTCCACACCTCCAAGCTTTTGCACATGCCAGGAATGCTTTTCGTTTAAGGGCAGATGTAAGGTCCTTCTTTCTTTCTTTGAGCTTTCCCGAAGACGTGTTTCTTTCGGGGAATCTTCTGGGTCTTCCTCACTGCACAGCCCCACCCCAGGGGCTGGGAGCATCCTCCGTTCAGCTGCCATAACCGAGAAGCCCTGTGTTCAGAGGTGTCTCTGGGGTGTCAGAGAGCATCTAGGGGGCATTGGCACATGGAGGCTGGTCTCAAAGCAGCCCCTGTCCCCCACTTGCAGCGACCGTCTTTTGGCCGGCCTACCCCGGGACCCTGACTGCTCCGTGCGCTTGCCTTCCTCACCCTCTGTGATTGCTAACGGGAAGTGTGATAAGTACTGGGGTTCGTTGGGGGGCTGCCCTAGGGCTGGGAGGCTGGGAGGAGCTGGGAATGCCAGGAATGCCCTGGGCTGTCCCTCAAGGAAGCTCTCACCCCACAGGCTCTTCCTCAGACAAGCCTTTGGACTATACAATTTGCTGGTCCAGGACCCTAGAACCAGAGACCTTGGGACCTGCTGCTTCCAAGGACTCAGCGAGAAGTGTAGACTGCAGGCTAAGGTGGAGCACGGAGCCTCTGCCACAAGGGGCTCGCCCGTGTTCCAACCCAGGTCTGCCAAAGGACCTCTGTAACAACCAGGAACTTGTGAAGAGGCAGAGCAACGTGGATAAGGTCACGCCCATGGAGGAAATCCCTTCGATCTGGGAAACCACTGCAATCTACCACTGTGGGGCTTAGAGAAGGGCCTGTGGGGCCGGGATGTCCTATTAAGAACATGCACACTGTGTGCACGTTTTCAGCACCTAGAACAGCTCCCGGCACTCAGCCAGCCCTGGATAAACATTTCTGAAATGAATGGATAAAGGAATGAATGGAAGGAATGCGCGCGGTTGTGTGTCATCAGTAGAATCGTGCCTGTGACTATCTCTGGGTGTGACTTTGCTTGTGTGTCTGTGTGGTAGTGGTTGTGTGAGATACGTGTGAGTGGGTGCCCTGGGCGGTAGGACTTATTAGCATGCATGGCTGTGTCTCAGGTCATGTGCAGCTGTGGTTGTGTTGTGTGTTTTGGTGACTGTGTATGGTTGTGTGCTGGGTTGTGTGCCATTGGTGAACCCTGCAGACATTGTTGATGGCATCTGCCCTTAAGGAAGGGGGTCATTACCTGAGCCCAAGCCAAAGACAGGGCTGGCACTGGGTGGGAGCCAGGGCACGGGCCCACGCACATGTAGGAAAAGCCACATGAGTACACTTCTGAGCATGTGCAGGCCAATATGGGAGGGGGGGCTATGAATGTGCTTGGAGGCAGCTTTGCCTGCACCCATGGTTTGCAACACCCAGAACTCAGGAGACTCAACTCTTTTCCAGCCCTCCAAACTGGGTTAGGGTGAGCAGGGAGGCAGCCCAGGGACAAATTTCCACTCCTCTCTTGTTCCCCTTCCCTAGAATCCTGTGGAGGCCAGCTGTTCCAAGGCCAAAGGTGAGACTCTTCCTTCCCATCGAGGCTGTGTAGGGAAGACCTGCCAATTCCTACCTCTCTCCCCTTTGCCCCAGTGTCATCTGGCTCCTGCCATTGCCACCTACTCACCCCTGCCTCAGCCTCAATGGCCCCATGTTCTATAGCTTACCCACTGTCCCTACCCCTACCCTGAGGCTCTGCTGACCTCTACCCTTCCCTGCCCCCAGCCTGGGCTCACCCTCACCTCTGCCCACAGGTAAGTCCACCATGATGATTCCTGACTGCCAGAAACTCCTACGAAGTGAACTGGAGTCACTTAAGAGCCAGCTACAGGCCCAGACCAAGGTGAATTACCTCAGTCCCACCTCCAGCCACCTCTGTCCCCTCTTGCCCTCCGCCCCCCCAACCCTAGGCCTGACCTCTTCCCCTCCAGGCTTTTGAGTTCTTGAACCATTCGGTGACCATGCTGGAGAAGGAGAGCTGCTTGCAGCAAATCAAGATTCAGCAGCTTGAAGGTGAGGACTGGCTGGGGGTCAAGGTCAGGCTGGAGTCTGGCTCTGGGGGTTGGGGTCTGGGTGGCGGATCAGGCCAGGGAGAGAGCTGGGAGTGCCTGGGTTCTGAGTCAAGGTCAGGATGAGCTTGGGGCAAGCTGGGTTCAGAGCTGGGCTCAGGGTGGGCTCCGTCAAGGCCACCCCCTCTCTGCAGAGGTGCTGAGCCCCACAGGCCGCAAGGGAGAGAAGGAGGGACCCAGGGCGGGTGCGGAGCAGGGTCAGCAGGAGCTGTATGGAGCCCTGGTCCAGGGCATACAGGGGCTGCAGAAGACCCTGCGTGACAGTGAGGAGGTGCAGCGGACCCGCACCACGCGCTGCCTGCAGCTGCTGGCACAGGACATCAAGGACAGGTGGGTGCTGGCAGGAGGGCTGGGGCCAGGGCCCAGGGACCAGAGACAGGATGGGAGAAATGGGAGAGGCCTGGCTACCTGGGGCTGGGGGGAGACAGGCGGGTGGCAGGGGCATGGCAGGGTGGAAGATTGGGAAGTCACAGGTGGGGAAGATGGGAAGCTGGGGGGCGGCTGGGAAGGCCGAGGGGGCAGGACACTGTGGGGTGGGAGGTCGGAGGATTGCAGATGGGAGGCTGACTGGGGGTGGGAGAGGCTAAGGGAGAGGGAGGCTGGGATCAGGAGGAGAGGAGGGCCTGGGAGGCAGCAGATGTTGGGATTGTAGGAGGAAGGGGAAAGAGGGCTGGCAGTGGGCAGAGCGGACAGAGCCTGGGGCAGGGCCTGTTGGACAGATGGGGACATGGGAAGTGGGGGAGAGCAGCCGCTGGCAGAGAGCATGGCTCCAGGCTGCACTGTCCCCTCAGCAAGAAGTTCCTGTGGGAGGAGCTGCAGCTGGTGCGGGAGGAGGTGAACGTCATCTATCGGAAGCTCCGTGAGTGCCGGGCCCAGCCAGGAGGGGGGCCCCTGTGCAGCCCCTGTGCCCTGAGCCCCCTCCCTCCACAGAGCTGCAGGAGAACGAGATCTCGGAGAACCTGATGAACATCCAGAAGTTGCAGAAGACACAGGTGAAGTGCCGCAAGGTGAGCGGAGAAGATGGGGACCCTGTGGAGGGGTGGCGTGGGGGACAGGCATGGGGATCTCTGCCAGACTCCACCGTCAGATTGGAGCCTGGGTTCCAATCCCAGCTCTGCCACTCGCTGCTGTATCGCTGTGGGCAAGTCACTCGGCCTCTCCAGGCCTCAGTTGCCTCATCTGTATTATGGGTACAAAAATGAAGCATCCCTACCTAAGCTATGTTAACTGAGTGTTAAGCACTTTGAATGTGGCTGGGTATATATACAATAAGTGCTGTGTAACGGTCACCTTGCACCGTTGTCATTATGGTTGTTATTGTTGCTCTCTCATTGTCCCACCCCACCCCCGGCCCCAGATCCTGACCAAGATGAAGCAGCAGGGTTGTGATACATCTGCCTGTCTGGAGACTGAGGAGATGCTACCAGGAGGCAGTGGGTGCTGGAATGATGAGCTCCAGAAGGAACTGAGTGATATATGGTGATGCCCAGTCCCAAGTCTGACCTCTGACCCCTGACTTTCATCTGTCCCACTCCTCCCAACCAGATCTGGCAGTGACCACCAGAACCTGGAGCCCACCTGAGTCCAGACCACTCCCTCCTGCCAGGACTCACCCCCGGCCCCCACCCCTGCTTTAGCCCTGGGGGTATTGTCCCCACCCTGAGCAGTCTGGAGCCTCCCAGGCCCCCATGTCCCCATCTCCCCGCAGGTCCTCTGTGAACGTGCTGCAGGACTCCATCGACAGCCTCACGATGGCCTCGGGGGCCCGCCCCAGGGCCCTGAACCTCAGGGGTGAGGGGAGCTGGGCATTCCTCGGGGGTGGGAGGTCATTCTCCAGCTTTGCTCATGGAGGTCACAGTCAGAGTCACATCTGTTGGGTCTTATTCTGTGATCACATTAAGGAGTCACTGGAGGTCACATTGATGAGTCACTGGAGGATTTATCCAGGAGTCACTGAGAGTCACGTTCAGGGTCACTAGGATCTTTTATAAGAGTGAATGGGGTAAAATTCAAGGGTCATTGAAGTCACAATTTGGTGCCACTTGGGTCACATTCAAGAGACATGGAGGTCATAGTGGAGGATCAGTGAGGTGTAAAGGGACACGGGGCCCATATTTGAGGGTCACATTCAGGGTTCCTGTCCCTCCCGCAGGCCGCAAGGGGCGCAGATGCCCGAGCCCACCGCTCCACTCCTGGGACTCAGACTCTGACTCAGACCAAGACATTTCCCAGCCACCTTTCAGCAAGAGCCGCTCCTTCCCTCCCGGTGCAGATCCTCCCTGGCGTCCACCCCGCCCCGCCCCGCCCAATCCCCCCAGCCCTGCCCTGGACTGCCACAGTCTGGGCGCTGGGGGCTGTCCCACCTGCGACCTGGGCATCTGCCACCTGCCCTGCAGCCCTGGGGTTCCCGGGAGCAGGCCAGGCCCTGACCCACCCTCTCTATCCGCAGCTTGAGCAGCAGGGACTGCTCTTCCTGAAGACCCTTCCAGAGAGAAAATAAACTAGCCGAGACCCTCCTCTACCCCTAGACTGTTGGTCCTGCTGCCTCCGGTGCCTAGAAATCCCCTCCCCCTTCCAATGAATTCCTCGGTGTTCAGGGCTGCAGAGACCCCAGGGGACAATCGGAAGGCCTAGAATCTGGACAGCCTGAGGCCAGATTTAGCACATGACAAGCTTAGGCGTCACAGGTATCTGCGCAGGTATCTGCGGCCAGACAGGCTCTTCCGCGCTGGCCACAGAGCCATCCTCCCTGGGCGCCCTGGCGGTCTGGTCCGCTGCCGCCACTGCCCAAATGGGGAAACGGAGGCCCAGAGAGGGAGGGAGGGGCGCGTCCCAGGGCCCTGCTCCGAAGCCCCGCCTTCCTCTTCCCCTCGGCGCCCCCCACCCCGGGGTCCTCCCTCTCAACCTCCATTCTAGGTTTCCTCCCGAATCTGTGCTAACGCGCCCCGCCCCCAAGAGCGCCCGAAGCCCCGCCCCGCCCCGTTAATGAGACGCCCCGAGGCCCCGCCCCATGGGGTTATGCAAATGAGAGGCCGGGAGGCCCCGCCCCTCCCTCCTCCGCGGAGCCTGCGCGGCGCGGCCAGAGCCGGCCGATCGTGTCTCCATCTCCGCGTCCGCCGGCCCGGCCGGCCGTCGGTCTGTCCGTGCCGCCGCGCCGGGGCAGCCGAGGCGGAGCGGGGGCCGAGGCGGCGGCGGCCTAGACCCGGTGAGGGGAGGGGATGGACTGGGGCGCCCCCTCTCCCCCTCCCCCTTCCCCCGGCTTCCCACCCTGGGTCCCGGTCCTCGGCTCCTGCGGGTCCGGGCCCTCGGGGTCCAGCGCGGGGAGGGGGAGGGGAGGCGGCGGTCTGGGGTTCGGGACGCGGCCGAGGGAGGGTGGCGCGGGGAGGGGGCCCCCAGGCCTGAGGAGCCAAGCAACGGGGACGAGTGTGGCTGTGGGTGACTGTGATTGTGTGGTTGTCATTCATTGTGTGTCAGTGTGTAACTCTCATTGTGCGACTGTCATTGTGCACCTTCACGGGTCCGCGGGTGTGTATGTGTGTGCGACTGTCATCGTGTGGCTGTCGTCGTGGATACCACTCCGATGGTTGGTGTGTGTGTGTGGCTATGATGTGGCTGCCATGGGGTGACCGTGTGACTGTTATCCCTGTGTGTGGCTGTCTTGGTGTCCCTGTGGTGGTGCGAATATGACTGTCATTGTGTGGCTGCTGTCGTGTGTTCATTCTGATGGTGTGTGCGTGGCTGTGGTCGTTGCCTGTCCAGTGTGGCCCTGCGTGTGAGTCTGTGTCATGGTGCATGTATGTGCCCTTCCGTGGCCATGTGGCTGTGGTTGTGGATGGCACATGTCTCTCCTGGGACTGTCAGTGTGGAGGAGAGACTGTTGATGTGTGTGGCTGTCGTTGAGTGCCTTGTAATTGAGGGTGTGACACTGTGGCCGTTTCTGTGACCCCCATTGTGTTGGTGACTCTGTCTTCGCTGTGACTCAGTAAGCGTGTTGGCAGCTCCGAGTCCACGTCCCTGACTGTGGGGGGGGAGGGGCTGTGTGGGGCTGTGATGTGTGTAGGGTCCCCTGATGTGGCCTGCGAGTATGTGTTTGGGAGGGAGGACTTGTTTGATCCGTGTGGGTGTCTGTGGCAGGCCGTGCGCCAACTGTACCTTGAGCGTGTCGCCTGTGTTGGACACCTGTCTGAATGAGCAAGCCTGGCTTGTACCCCACGAGCTGGCACCCAGCACAGCTCCTGGAAGTCGGCAGGAGCTCAGCCCTCACGGTGGGATGGATGGACACCATGTCGCGGTGTGTGTGGGGGGCGGGTGTATGTGCGTGTGTGTTTGGAGTGGAGGCTGTAGCTGGGTTGTGCACCCCGTGGGTGCTGGCGGGGGTGACCCCGTGGGCATCTGGAACCCCTGGTGACCCCAACCCCACGTCACACTGCAGAGCCAGCCTCGTGGATGAGGCACTGGAGCCAGCGTGCCCACCCTCGCCTGCCCGTGCCTCAGTTTCCACATCTGCACAATGGGGGTGACCACCCCTGCTCTGCTGGGTGCCAGGAAGGGGTGTGAGTCTGTGGGCGTGGTGGCGGCCTGTGGGAAGCCTTAGGGCACTTTCACAGGTGAGACGGGCTGGGAGAATGGGTGTAAGCAGGCGTGACTGCCACTGTCTTGTCCCCTGAAGCGCTGGGGGCTGGGGGGAGGCTGGGGGGAGGGAAGAGGAGAACCGGGAGGCAGACGGCCTGGGGGGAGGGGGAGGAGGGGAAGGCAGCTGGGAGAGGAGGAGGACCTGGCTATCAGCCCGCATCAGACACCGCAGCCCATGGGGACGGAGACAGGGGCCCCTGTGGAGGCCTTGGGGGAAGGGACTCAGGGGACTGGCCTGGTGCCTGTGGGGTCCCCCTGGGGTAAGAGGATGGGTCCCCTAAAAACTGGTGCGAGAGGGACTCCCATAAAGCTGGAGGAGTCTCTCCTAAAAGCCAGGGAAGAGAGGTCCTACTAAAGGCTTGGGGCTGGCATGTCCTGTGTAGGCTGACAGGAAGGGGACCACTATGGAATTTCTGGGGTAGCGTCAGGGGAGGCGGGTGTCTGCGATGGGAAGGGGCAGGGCGGGACCTGGATTACAGGGCTGTGGCCAGAAGGCTCAGAGGGCGGAGCCAGGGCCCCGCTGTGTCTTCAAGACCAGCGAGTGTGGCCAGAGGACTCAGGGCTGTGACCTGGGTCCCGCCCTGGAGCCCCCACTCCCTCCCCGCCCCCGCAGGCCTGGCCTTCACCATGGCGGGAGGGAGACCGCACCTGAAGAGGAGTTTCTCCATCATCCCCTGCTTTGTCTTCGTGGAGGTGAGGACCCTAGTGCCTTCCCCAGAGGGGCGCACCCGTCTTCCTGGCTCTTTCTCTGTCTCTGCCCAACCTCAGTATCCCTCCCCATATCCAGTTTCCATCTCCCCCGCTCCAGTCCTGCCACCTCTCTTCCTGATCTTTCGCTCCCTGTCTCTCTGGGGTCTCCGTGCCTGTCCCCTTTCTCTTGAGAAGTGGTTATGAGCTTGGACTCAGAAGTGGCACTCCCCGGGTTCCAACCTCGACCTGCGCCATCCACTTTCTCCCAAGCCCAGACCCTTCTCTGCCCCCACCAACTGCATCTCCCTCCGTCTCTCTCCAACTCCATCTCTCGCCATCTTTGTGTCCCTGTCTTGTGGCCTCAGCTCGGGCCCTGACCCTCTCTGTTCTCTCTCCATCGCCTCTCCCCACCGCGGCTGGGTGGCAGTCGGTGCTGCTGGGTGTCGTGGTCCTGCTGGCTTACCGCCTGGAGTTCACGGACACCTTCCCCGTGCACACCCAGGGATTCTTCTGCTATGACAGCACCTACGCCAAGCCCTACCCGGGGCCTGAGGCCGCCAGCCGAGCACCCCCTGCGCTCATCTACGCCCTCGTCACCGCTGGGCCCACGCTTACAGTGAGACTGTGGGGGTCCCCTTGCTCGGACCGTGGGGAGGACCTCCCAGGAGGCAGGTGGGCCAGGTGGGGGTGGGTGGAGAGCTGGGCCTGCAGGCTAGGAGGTCCCTGCCTTGGTCTCGCCCGCAGATCCTGCTGGGGGAGCTGGCGCGTGCCTTCTTCCCTGCCCCGCCTTCGACCCTCCCGGTCGCTGGGGAGAGTACCATCGTGTCCGGGGCCTGCTGCCGCTTCAGCCCGCCGCTGCGGAGGCTGGTCCGCTTCCTGGGTGAGGGACACAGCCCTGGGGCAGCCTCGTGGTAATGGTGGGGCAGTGGGTGCAGACGAAGGGGTCGAGGGCAAGAAGGAAGAGGGCCTACAAGTACCATGACTGTGGCTCCAGGTAGCAAGGAGGGACTTGGGCTCTGGTTTATTACTAGCAGCCCCAGGGGAACAGTGACCAATGCAGTAATAGCCAGTCCAGGGACAGGTGTCAAGAGGCCCAGAGATGCCATTAGGGCTTTCCTAGGAGGTCCCAGGCATGGGCCCGATCTCGACGTGGTAGCGTTGAGGGGTCCAAGCCCAGCTATAATGGGGTTCCAAGGAAGGGCCCGCTATTGACATAGTGCGCATCCCAGAGGGACAGAGGCCAGATGTACTGTAAGGAGGGTCCCAGGGAGAGGAAGCCTGAGGGAGAGAGTGCCATCATGGTGGCCCCAAAGGGATGAGGACCTTGGCCTCACTGTAATGGGGTCCCAGGTGTTCTTTAATGGCAGCCACAGGAACAAGGATATAGGGGCCCAATGGAGCCATGAGGGGGCTCTCAGGAGGAGGGCGAGGGGGACATCAGGGCCTGGAACATGAACCCCCTCTCTTCTCCCACCCCTAGGGGTCTACTCCTTCGGCCTCTTCACCACGACCATCTTCGCCAACGCGGGGCAGGTGGTGACTGGGAACCCCACGCCACACTTCCTGTCAGTGTGCCGCCCCAACTACACGGCCCTGGGCTGCTCGCCGCCCTCACCAGACCGGCCGGGGCCCGATCGCTTTGTCACTGACCAGGGCGCCTGTGCTGGCAGCCCCAGCCTCGTGGCCGCTGCGCGCCGCGCCTTCCCCTGCAAGGACGCGGCCCTCTGCGCCTACGCGGTCACCTACACGGCAGTAAGCCCGAGGAGCTGCAGGGCGGGAAACCAGGGCATGGGCTGCGTGGTGGCCAGCGGGCAGGGGGCCCCCAGGACCGGAGCCTCTGATTCCTCCACACCCAGCCTGGGCACTGTGACACTGCCCTGAGGGCGGAGCCTACACCTTTGGAGGCTCTGGCCCCGCCTCTCAGATCCTGGCCACGCCCCTGAGCCCAAGTCTAATACTGCGCATTGACTCCGCCCCCTTGGAATCTGGCCACGCCTCCTGACCTAGTAATGCCACGCCCCAGGGAGACTGTTGACTCCACCCTCTGGGATCGGGACATTATCCCTGGAGCGCTGGATTCTGAACCTCTAGCCTAGCCGGGTCCCCAAAATGCTACAGGCTCTGGGTATTGGCTGGGAGACTAGGTGGGTGGGTTTTGACTTGGCCCCTTGGAGTCCTTGTACCTCTACTGGGGCCTTGTCCCCACCTGTTGTTGCCCTGGCCACGCCCCTTACTCATGATTGGCTGGGACTTCTAACTCTGTCCCCTGCTTTTCCCTGGTCATACCCTGTGTTTCTTTGACTCCTTTTTCTAGGGTCCCTCCAGGATTATGTTCCTAACTCTCTCAGTGGTCCCCTGGGGCTGGGGGACTCCACCTCTTGGAGCTCCTGGACCTTCCCCTTTAGCTCTGACTCCACCCTCTGGGGTTCTGTGACCATGTTAGATGTACCCATCTATGACTCTGTACCAAGGATACCTGGGCCCCAGACCTTGTCCACTGCCTTTGGGTGCTCTAGCCACACCCCTCCAGGGCCCATGGGACTCCATGACCCTGATCCCTGGGGATCCCTCCTTTCCACCCAAATCCCGACCCCTCTCCTTGCCATTATGGGCGCACCTCCTGCCAGAGCCCGAAGCGAGTCCACGACTCCATCCCTGGAACCCCTGGCCACGCCCCCTAGCCTGGATCGCACCGTCCACTTGGGTTCGGGGACTTCGCCTCCACTTGTCCCCTAACCAGTCCGGCTCCCGCAGATGTACGTGACTCTCGTGTTCCGCGTGAAGGGCTCCCGCCTGGTCAAACCCTCGCTCTGCCTGGCCCTGCTGTGCCCGGCCTTCCTGGTGGGCGTGGTCCGCGTGGCCGAGTACCGCAACCACTGGTCGGACGTGCTGGCTGGCTTCCTGACCGGGGCGGCCATCGCCACCTTTTTGGTGAGTCCCCTCCCAAGCTATCCGGGCACTGGAGACCCTTCATCAGCCCCCTTGTCCTAGAGGCAGGGCTTCATGATGGTGAAGGGTGTGGACTCTTATGTGCCCTTGGGCCAGTCCCTTAACCTTACCCTGCCTCGATGTTCTCATCTGTGAAATGGGATACCAGGACCAGGGTGAGGCACTACCTTAAGTACAAAATATAAGAGAGTACCACAACACTCAATAACACTATTATTTAAAAGATCAATAATATTTTAATGAAACATTTTACAAAACAATAATAATATCCCCAGTCCAGGCCAGGTGGGGTGGCTCATGCCTGTAATCCCAGCACTTTGGGAGGCCGAGGCGGGAGGATCGCTTGAAGTCAAGAGTTCAAGACCAGGCCGGGCGCGGTGGCTCACGCCTGTAATCTTAACACTCTGGGAGGCCAGGCGGGAGGATTGCTCGAAGTCAGGAGTTCGAAACCGGCCTGAGCAAGAGCGAGACCCCGTCTCTACTATAGATAGAAGAAATTAATTGGCCAACTAATGTATATAGAAAAAATTAGCCGGGCATGGTGGCACATGCCTGTGGTCCCAGCTACTTGGGAGGCTGAGGCAGAAGGATTGCTTGAGCCCAGGAGTTTGAGGTTGCTGTGAGCGAGGCTGACGCCACGGCACTAACTCTAGGCTGGGCAACAAAGCGAGACTCTGTCTTAAAAAAAAAAAAAAGAGTTCAAGACCAGCCTGTGCACCATAGCAAGACCCTGTCTCTACAAAAAACTTTAAAAATCAGCCAGGTGTGGTGGCGCACACCTATAGTCCAGGAGGCTAAGGTGGAAGGATTGCTTGGCTTGAGCTCAGGAGTTCAAGGACTCTAGCCTGGGCAACAGAACGAGACCCTGCCTCTAAAAATGAAATGAAATTTAATAAAAGGATAGAATCCTGTTCCTATACAACTTGACCTTACTCACCTCACCCTAGTCTGGGCCCTGTGGGATAAAAAGTAATAGTACCTACCTCTTAGTAAAGAGGGCAGAACAGTGCTTTGGACCAAACCTGAGCCTCAGTTTCCTTATCTGAAAAACGGGGATGGTATTTACATAACTCCTATATTCCTGGCTCCAGGAATCAACACTCCCCTCTCCCTCTGTCCCAGGTCACCTGCGTCGTACACAACTTCCAGAGCCGGCCACCCTCTGGCCGAAGGCTCTCCCCCTGGGAGGACCTGGGCCAAGCCCCCACCATGGACAGCCCCCTCGAAAAGTTAAGTGTGGCCCAGGTAAGGGGGGCCGGGGGCTGCTCCCGGCTGGAGAGGGTGGTGGGTGGAGGGGGCTCGAGGAGGCAGGAAATCAGGAAAGAGTTGGGGGTCCCAGGGCCTTGGGGAGGTGGAGGGATCACCCATCTCTGTGGACACCCCCCTCTCCCTCCTGAGGAGACACTGTTAATCCTGAGAACCCCGCTTGTCTTTTCCATGGGGCTGTCTGCCTGAGGAACCCCTTGTGGCTGTGGCCGGTGGGGCCCAGGGGGCCCGCTAGCCCCTTCCCTCTCTCTGTCTCAGGAACCCGAGGCCTGCAGGCCGCATTCGACACCGGCACGGCTCACCCCATCCAGTGAGTGTTGGGGCAGTGGGGGGATAAGCGGGGGGACTTCCGGATGGGCGGCCACTGCCACGGAAGCCTCCCCTGTGCGTTCGTGGCCCCCGCCCGAGGTTTCTGATTCCCTGATCTCTGACCCCTAGAGCCGCAGAACTGCACCCGCCGTGGCCACCTGATCCCCAGCTGTGTGTCCTCCAGGGCCCCAGCCATGTGTTCGTCGCCCCGTGTGCCCCGCCCTCGACTGAGGTCTGAGCCAACGCCCCTGCCGCTGCCCCTGCCCCTGCCAGCACCGACCCCCAGCCAGGGCCCCTCGCCTTCCTCCCCTGGACCTGGGGGGCCAGGCGGGGGCGGGGGACGTGGCCGGAAGCTGCTGCTGCCTACGCCCCTGCTGCGGGACCTGTACACCCTGAGTGGACTCTATCCCTCCCCCTTCCACCGGGATAACTTCAGCCCTTACCTGTTTGCCAGCCGTGACCACCTGCTGTGAGGCCCGACTACCCACCCAGAATCTACCCGGTCCCCACTTCTTCCCTGCCACGCGTGTGTGTGCGTGTGCCATGTGAGTGCCAAAGCCCCCTGTCCCCAAACCAGCCGGGCCCAGGTACCAGAAGATGGTTGGACGAACATCTGGGGGACCCCCCCATCCCCTCTTGCCATCTGGGACATCCCAATGGGCAGAGATGCAGGGTGGGCCCGTGCCCCTAGGATTGCCCTTTTAAGGGCTAAAGCCTGACCCCATTGGCCATTGCCTGGCCAATGAGGGCCCCTATTTCTCAGAATTCTAACCAAAAGGAGTTTGCTCCAGCCAATGGGAGCCTGCCCCTCACTTCTTAGAATCCTCGAGCAAGAGGGCAACTCCAGCTAGTGTTCAGCGTCTGAACAGCCAATAGGAGCCCTTAGTTTCTAGAGTGGGTGGGTATGATTCCAGTCAATGGGGGACCGCCCGTGTCTAAGCATGTGCGCTGGAGAGGAGGGAGATGAGGTCATTCTTTGTCATCCAGTCCTCTCGGAATCAGGGAGTCCCGCTGGAGGGTGGGGGCAGGCTCCCCCATAGCAGGGTCCTTGGGGGCACCCCTTCCCCTCTTAGCCCCTCGCCTGTGTGCAGCCTCTCACCCAGTCCCTCCAAACCCCCTACTTAAGCAGGGCTTGCCCCAGTTCAGCAGTTTTGGGGTTCAGGGTGCTGTGTCTTCCCTCACCTGTGCCCAGGTCACCCCAAACCCTTCTGTTATTTATTAGGGATTTTTTCTTGGAACACACCCCCATTTTTCATACTGCCCCCCATGCCTCAGCCTCATGGAGATGTGCCATTATGGGGGGCATGGGTGGAGCAGAGGGGCTCCCTCACCCTGGGCAGCCAAAGGCAGCGGACAGAGGAGACACTGTCCCCCTTTCCTGCCCCCTCCTCATCTTTAATAATGACCTGGCTTCTCATCTTTAATAAAGACCTGTTTGTAACAGAAGTTTGGCCACCTGCCTTCCTCCCCCGGGTGGTGGGGGCTGGAGAGGACTTTAGTCGTGGGCTTAGATGTCTGTGAAGCTGGGTGTGGGTGTGTTGTCACAGTGCATCTGAGGGCGATTGTGGAGAGGCAGTGGGAAGCCATGGGGCCAGCCACTTGGGCTGAAATCCTGGCTCAGCATGTCTTGGTTGTGTTGTCTCAGGAAAGTGAATTCACTACTCCGTGGTCTTGTTTCTTCATTTGTCAAATGCAGACACCCCCTCAAGCCACTAAGGCACACATGCATTGAGGGGCCTGACATGCCTGTTTGTCCCAGGCAGCTGGCCTGTTTCTCATCACAGCCAGGGCACAGAGAATAGGGTAAGGAGACCCCAGGTGACCTGAGAATGAAGGGGCATGCTGCCAGGCACTAGAAACCTTCAGGCTGAACACCTGGCTGCATGGATGAGAGCAGAGAAGTTGCTCAGGAGGTTATGTTGAGTCCCAACCACCTGAGATCTCAGAGGAGTCTAGGGAGATAGGAAGGGGCATGGAGCTACATGACCCCACTCCAACTGTGGCTCTGAGGGCTTCAGACAGGCCATGTAGGACCTAGAGTCATCCAGGGACCAGGAAATGGGTCCTGCTAGTGTCTAGCAGATGAAATCCAGGTGCCCCCTGTAGTCTGGCCTGGCTACCGTCCTGGCCCCTGCTTCACCTGCTTCCCTTCTCCCCTCATTCATTCAACAAACACTACAGAGCACCTCCCATGTGCCAAATTGTCGTAGTCTGTTCAGCCTGCTATAACAAATGCCATAGACTAGGTAGCTTGTAAACAACAGAAATTTATTTCTCACAGTTCTGGAGGCTGAGAAGTTCAAGGTCAAGGCACCAGCCTATTTGGTGTGTAGTGAGGGCCTGCTTCCTCATAGGTGGCAGAAACATGCAGGATCTCTTATGGGCCCTCTTTTATATTGGCACTAGTTCCATTCATGAGAACTCCACCCTCATGTCCTAATCGCCTCCCAAATGCCCCACCTCCTGACATCATCACCTAGGAGGTTAGGATTTCAACATATGCATTTGGGAGGTGGGACACGAACATCCAGACCATGGCATAAGTGCTGTTCAGGCACAGGGGCTATAGCAGTGAACAGAACAGGCACGGTCTCTGCCCTCATGGGGCTCGTATTCTAACACGTGAGACAAGAAACAAGATAAACAAGCTAGAAACAGACCCACGGTTCCAAATTTCACAGAAGTCTGAAAATCATAATCTTTTCATAATGCATTTGTGGCAAAACTTAACCTGAACTGACATGAGGTTATGTATAGCTTTTACTTAATTCACTTGATGTGAATATCCTTGTATTTTTCTGCAGATAAAGTGTTTCATTAGGGGATGTTACCCCAGGCATCAACTAGGGGTGTTATGAAACACATAGTATTTACACCACCTTGCTTTTCAAAAATCGGAAAAATTCTGAATTCCAAAGTCTAGGATCAGGGATTTAGGAAAAGAATTGAGATCTCTGATATAATAGATACTGATATGTGATAGGAGGGAATTCAAGCCAGAAAAGACATTGTGACAACTGTGGGACAGGGACACCATTTGCAACTTAAAGAGAGTGATCAGGGAAGTTCTCTCTAGTAGGTGACACTGGGGGTGAAGAAAGTGAGGGAGGGAGCCAGGTAAATATCTGGTGGGGGTGGGGTGGGGAGCATTCCAGGGAATGGGAACGGCAAGTGCAAAGGCCCTGAGGTGGGAATGCACCTTCTATGTTCAAAGAACAGTGAGCGAGGAGACAGTGTAGCCGGCGCTGAGTGAGCAAGAGGGAGAGAGAGGAAGAAGAGGTAGGGGAGATGGTAGAGTTGGGAGACCACGGGGGGATGAGATGGGAGGATGAGATGGCAGAAGGGAGAGGAGAGACAGAGTCATGGGGCTCCCTGCCTGATGGGGCAGGGCTCCTGTTTCCAAAGCTCACACACCCGAGACCCACAGTCCCTCCAGATGCGCAGCTGCATCCATCCAGGCCAAGAAGGAAGAAAAAATTCAGCACCACGGACAGCACCTCCAACCAACCCCGGCGGCGCTGTCCACGGTGCTGATGATGACCGCGGGTCGAGAATGGGTAAACTGGGGCATGGAGTATCTGGTCCCGCTTAGGAATGTGGTGACAGCAGCCCTGGCCTTGGCCTGACTCCCACCCCAGGACGGATGATCTTAGGTAGAGAACACAAACAAGCGTATACTTGCTTATTCAAAAGCCTTCTCAATATGCCCCATGGGTCTGACCGCATCTCAAACTCGACCAAAACAGAGCTCTGGTTTAGAATGTAAGGCAAAACATGACCATCGTCCACTCAAAGCCCTCTCATGGCTCCCCATGGCGCTCAAGTAACAGCCAACCTTCTCCCAGTGCCTCAGGACCTTTGCACTTGCTGGTGGCTCCACCTCGGACGCCCTTCCCCTGCATATGTGTACGAATCACTACCTGACCTCCTTCGAGCCTTCTCTCAAATGTCACCTTCCCAGTGAAGCCTGCCCCAACCACCCCATTAAAAATTTCAAAAACAAACAAAAAACTGGCCTGTCCAACTTCCCTTCTCTGTGAAAATTTTTTGACATATACCGATCATCTGCTCACACACTGTTTAAATTCCTCATCATGCTTGGTGGTCATTATCAATAGGATGTAAGCTCCACCAAGACTTTATCTGTTGCTGTCCACTGTGGAGTCCCCATGCCTAGAACAAGCCCTGGAACACAGTAGGTGCTCAATAAATGTTTACTAAATGAATAAACTAATCAATTAGGATGTCAATAAACTAAGGAGAGGCACAGACTGACCCTGAGCATCCCCTAAGTCCAGCTCTGTCTGCAGGCAGCTATATTCCCCCATGAATCCAGTCTATGGCAAGTGTCCTTCTATCAAGACATGAAGACAGAATTCTGAGAAGCAAAAGACAGAAGGACTGTGTGCAGGAGGGATTTGCCATACGTCTGCATCTCTGTCTCTGAATGTTCTCACTCAGCCTACATTGATGAGCACTGGCAACTTAGCCAGGCATGGTGGCGCACGCCTGTAGTCCCAGCTACTTGAGAGGCTGAAGTGGAAAGATCACTTGAGCCCAGGAGTCCAAGATTACAATGAGCTATGATCGCACCACTGCACTCTGGCCTGGGCAACAGAGCAAGACCATGTCTCTAAAAAAAGAAAGAAAGAAAAGAACCAAAGGGATATCTGGGAGCTGACTGCTGTAGGCACGAGAACAGCAAGTGCAAAGGTCCCGAGGTGGGTCTGTTTTCAGCAAGCCCCATGTATGTAACTGTGCGGGACTGTGTGAGTGGGAGTCACTACTGGGTGTTTGTGCATCTGCAGTGTTGTAATGTGATGTGAACCATGCGTTGTGTATCTGCTGGGGGGCGGGGGGCTTAGGTGGGATGTTTTACAGTGCAGTGTAACAGTCTGCCTCATTTTGTGTGTGTATATGTGTGCGTAGTGGCAATAGCATAGTTGTATCCGAGTGTGTCCTCGTGTGTGTTGTACAAGGGAAAAGGTGTAGGGGTGCGAATGTGGGACAGAGCGTGTATAAGATGCTTTTGTCAGAGTTGGGTAGGGCTGCTGTGAGCGTGCAGGTGATGGGGATTCTGGAAGTGGAATATATGCAGAGATGCCATGGAGTGGGTGTGCGTATATGTGTGTATAGAGGCGTATGGGGGTGCCCAGCTGTGTCAGTGGGTGTGCTGGGGGATGTTGTGAAGCTGTTTTCTGGTACCAGAGAGAAAAGAGAGAGAGAGAAAGCTCAGGAAATCTCAGTTCCGCCCTGCCTCTGGGTCTCCAGGCAACAGCACCACTTTGAAGTTACCAGGAGACAAGGTTGCCAGGGCAACACAGGCGTGAGTGGCAGCTCTGGGGCGAAGTCTGGGTGAGGAGAGCCAGCCAGGGATCCCGATCACTCACTGTTCCTCCCTCGCTCCCAGTTTCCCATCAATCCCACTTCCTTCCTTCATTGATTTCACGAGCATATATTTTAGAAAGTACAACGTGCTAGGCTCCGTTCTGGGTGCTAGAGAGATAAAAGTGAACAAGACAAACAAGGTTCCTGCTGTGACTCTCCCTCAGTCTCAGACCCTGTCTCTTCGTCTCTACTGTCCCTTTCTTTGGCCTATGGGCCCTCCTCCCCCTATACCAGCAGGACCCAAGAAGCCCCCCGGCCAATAAGGAAGTGGACCCTCAGACAAGGCTGTTGGTGTTTTGAGCCCGTGGCCCCAGACCTACACTCGTGCCAAACGCAGGTGTACAGAGAGACAAGCACACAGCGCATCCCACCCTCTGCCTCTCAGTTGTCATTGGGTGACACCAGCAAAACCACACGCAGACACATGCCCATCACATTATTCCATGAGCGCCTTCTTTTACAGGTGAGCAATGTAATATGCCAACGGTTTGGGCCCGTTCCCTCCAACTCTCAACCCTTGTATTTTTCTGATTAGCTTAGAAAAATAGTGTTCGTGCTGCCTTCCCAGCAGCCTCCCTCGGAAAAACGGCTAATCTCCCTGGAACGCCCGCATTTCCTCCACGCTCAGACTAGGTTATAGACATTTGCCCACTCGCCGGGGGAGGAGCTAGCTAAGGTCGACCTACTTTTGATGGACAGATCCACGGACCAATGGCGAAGCTAAATAAGCTGTAACCAATGAGGCCTCGGGCTAGGTGGGATTAAAACTGGGAACGCACCACCGATTGGACAGAGATACGTTGCGAATGGCGGAGACACTGAGGCGGGTGCTAAGCGCGGGTAGCGCGGGTAGCGCGGCCTGGCCTGGGGAGGAGAACACGGCTGAAGCTGGACCGCCTTTGTTGTTGCTTGGGGCTCCAGGCTCTGGAAAAACAGCGCTGCTGTTCGCGGCGGCCCTGGAGGCGGCGGGGGAAGGCCGAGGCCCCGTCCTCTTCCTGACCCGGAGGCCTCTTCAAAGCCTGCCCTGCGGGACTGGAGCGGCGCGCGACCCAATGCGGCTCCAGGTAACAGTGGGGCGGGGGCAGAGGCGTACCAACCAATAGAGAGACGGATTGGAGCTTGAGTGACAGATAGGCAGGCCAATGGTGGGGACAGTGGCAGGGGCGAGCTGAGCAGCCATGATGGGGCGGAGTCAGGAATGTGCCAGGGGTGGGACTGTGAGGAGTTTAGATAAGATTGAGTGAGAGCCTATCCAATGATAGGCGATGCTAGCTAGAGGCGGTGCCAAAGGGTAGAGTCGGGGCGATTAAAGGGGTGCAGCTAAGCTCAAGTCTAGTCGAGACCAAGGATGGGATCCGACTCGGGGCGGGTTTTCCGAGGAAACGTTGCCCTAGAGATTTGGCAAAAAACCATGAGTGCTGGAAAGAGGGGTGAATACGAGAATATTTGACTGCTCTGAGCTACTTCATCCTGGAACCAGCTGTCTGGGAGTGAGAGCCTCGTCCAGGAAACAATGCAAGGGAGGAGGGTTGCCATTGCGGGGATCCTGGCTTTTTGTGCTGAGTCTGGCCCTTTCCTTCCTTTCCTCCCTCTAGAAGATCCGCTTCCAGTACCCATCCTCAACCCGAGAGCTTTTCCACCTCCTGTGCTCTGCCCATGAGACCCCAGGGCCAGCCCCTTCCCTTCTGCTTCTAGACGGCCTGGAGGAATACCTAGCGGAAGACCCGGGGGCAGAGGAATCCGCCTACCTCGCCGCCCTGCTTCTGGACACAGCTGCCTACTTCAGCCACCGGCTTGGGCCTGGCGGGGACTGTGGGCTCATGGTGGCCCTCCAGACCCAGGAGGTGGCTGACAGTGGGGATGCCCTGCATCTGGCACTGCTACAGCGGTATTTTCCAGCCCAGTGCTGGCTGCAGCCGGAGGCATCAGGTTCAGGGGAGCACCGCCTCAGAGTCTGCCTGGAGCCAGGCGGGCTGGGCCCCAGGACAGAGTGGTGGGTGACTTTTCAACCAGGTGGAAAAATGACAATCAGCCTGTTGCAGACCCAGGCTGGTGACCCCAGCTCGGACAAGGGTTCAAGCTCTGGAGGCCACCCCTAAGCTTTGGTGTGTGACACCTCTTCCATGCCTTAGTTTCTCATGGCTGAAATACCTCAGGGACGTGTGCAGATTCAAAGACCTAAAGAATATAAAGTGCTCTCTCTTTAAAAAACAGTGTTATCATGTACATATAATACCCAATGAACAAAATGTTTAGTTTTGCCATTTTAAACTTTATTAATAGTTTCATGATAAATGTAATCTTCTGAGACTTCTCTTTCCACTCAACATGGTTACTAAGATTCAGTGATATTTGTTCGTTCGTTCCTTTCCCCTTATTGCAATAAATTTCATGAGTGACTATACCCTAGTTTACTCATCAGATTGACATTTTTACTGCTAAGAACATTCTTGCACACATGTCCTGGTACATGTGTGTGTGTTTGGGATATATACTTAGAAGTGGAACTGGTGGAGAATGCATGTGTTCAGCTTTCTTAGGTTATGCCAAACTTTTTTGGGGGAGGGGGAAGGGGATGACAGGGTCTTCCTCTGTCCCCCAGGCTGGAGTGGAGTGGCTCAATCATAGTTCACTTCAGCCTTGAACTCAAGCTTGAATTATCCTCCTGCCTTAGCCTCTCAAGTAGCTGGGACTACAGGCCTGTACTACTATGCCCAGCTAATTGTTTAAAAATTTTTTTGTAGAGACAGGGTCTTGTTCTGTTGCCCAGTCTGGTCTCAAACTCCTGGCCTTAAGCAATCCTCTGGGCTCAGCCTCCCAAAGTACTGAGGTTATAGGCATGAGCCAGCCACCTGGCCATATGCCACCCTTTTTAAAAGTAAACTAGAATTCCCATTAAGTTACTTGATGACACTTGGTGTCATCAGAGTGCTTTTTTAAAACATGGTCTGATTCAGAATAAGGCCCTATGAATTGTTATTATGGCAGAGACTAGCTAGAGTCTCACTAAACAGCTTTCCTTTCCCTGGGTGTACAACTAAACTACATTTCCCAGCCTTTCATGGTTCTAGGTGGGGTCATGTGACTATTTCTGGTAAATGAAATGTGAGAAAAAGTAGTAGAGACCATTTCTAGGCCAAATCCTTAAAATGGCCCATGGAATCTTCTGCACTCTCTTTGCTTGTTGACTGGCAGCATGTAGAGGATCCATCTACGGATGCCAAGATGACCCTAAGGGAAGATGAAGCTACAGACCAGAATGGTCTGGACCTCTGACTCATCGCAGAGATGGCTGCCCATCTGAATTGAAATAACAGAAAGAGACCACTTCATGCCTTAAACCACTAAGATTTAGGAACTGTATGTTATGGCTGCTAGTGTAATTTATACTGACTAATTTACTTAATTATGATTTGTATTCAGATTGGCAAGTCCAGAATTTCAGACTGAGCTCAAGGACTTTAACTGCTGCCCCTACGGCCTAGGCCCAGGGAAAGATGGGGCCTAAAGGGTGTCTGTAGAAATGGTAGAAAAACGTATATATACATATGTGTGTGTGTATATATATATATTTTATTCTTTAAAAACTATACATATTTACAAATACTGCAGGTTTGTGATTTCCTGAGCAGGATGGATTGGGCAGATAGGCAAGGTCAGCAATGCCCCTAGCCCTGAGGGATGATTCGCTGTCATGTTCAGTAAGTCTTGGGCTTGTACCAGCACTCGGGGTCATATTCGATACTGAAGCATCTGCATGCTGGTGTCCTAAGAGCAGGCCACGTAGCTGGGGGGTGGAGCCTCAGGGGCTGGGACAAGGCTGTTCTCATACGGGTTAGAGCAGGAGCCACTGGATGAGCCCCCTTGTGCTCCCTGGGAGCTCCCTGAACTGTAGTCAGTAGAAATGCCAGAGTCAGACACCACGAGGTACAGGTACTTTAGGTGGGGCGGGGTGGAGGGCAGTTCAGGGGGCAGTGCCCGAGGGCACAGAAGCTGGGAGCTGGGGTCTAGGATTGTGTACTCGAAGCTGGCAGCTGAGGCCCCCTCTGGGCTGGGCTTCAAGGCCAAGGCAGAGGAGCAGGAGGAAACTTCTGAGCCTTCATCCATGGCCACCATGTCCACACTGGCACCTGGCCCTGGGAGGTTCTCCCTGGCCGGGCTCCGGGGCAGCAGCCACTTGTCCAGCACCAGGTAGGTGTCCTGGGCATGCTTACTGCCCACGGGCTCCAGCAGGGGCCCCTCATCATCTGCCTCTGGCTCCACTGCCTGTGTCACCCCCCAGGAGCGCTCAGAAAGGACTTCCAAGGGGGCGGGTGTGTCGTCTGTGAAGGGGGTGCAGGGACTCCACCACAGACAGCCATCGTTCTGGTACAGCCACAGCTGAAGAAACAACATCTGCCTGCTCAGAGGCCTGGGGCTTTGACCGCAAGAAGCATGGCAACCCCAGACCCTAAGGGGACAACCAGGCCACCTACCTGGAAGTTACCCTTGTGGGTGGTGAAGAGGCCCTTAAACTCACTTTCCGGACTCGGGATGCCAGGCCAAATCTTCTGCTTCAGAGCCCTGTTGCAGCCGATGGAAACAGGTACATAGATATGAGTCACTGAACACCCACCCATACCCCCTCAGCACCCAGCCACGGGGGCACAGAAACTCCTGGTCCCCACCATCCCAATAGAGGTAGAGGAGTGCATCAGGGCTGGGGAGCAGGGGCTTGGGCTGAACCTTCAGCAAGGCCCTACAAAAAGGTGACTAGAACAGGGTTTTGAAGGATGCGTAGGAGTTCAATATACACTAACCCATACTACCTCTAATCCTTGCCCAGGCTTTGCCTGGAAGTCTATGATGTCACTTCCCTCATCACCCCTTTTCATGGTTCCGTAAGACATTAAGAATGAAATCCAAACTCCTCCCCACAGCCCTGCAGAATGCCCTGTGTGATAGAACCTCTGTCGCCTCCCTCACCCCATCACTGGCTACTGCCCCTGACACACTGCTCTGCCCATGTGACTAGTCTGGAAGCTGCTTCCGTGTTCCCAGGTCATCCCACCTCAGGGCCTTTCCACTTGCTGTGTCTTCTCCCCACTTTTCATGTGACTACTTCCTTCCAGCCTTCACGTTTCTACCCTAATGCCACCAGGGGACGACCCTGACCGTCCTGTCATGTCCCCGAGCCTTGTTTGTTTCTGTGATATCACTCATCACAATTTGTAATCAGATATTTGTTGGTTCCCTTGCTTGTTGATTTGACCATGAGATCCACAAGGTCAGGGACTTTGTGGTTCAAGGTCAGGTTCTCCACTCTCCCTCCAGTGCCTAGCCCACAGTTGGCACTCAATATGTGTTTTCCAACCAAGTAAGTGAACAGGGCCATGAAAGACAACTAGAAGATTGCTCAGTGAACAGGGGAGGAAGGGCATTCCAGGCAGAAGGAACAGTAAGTGCAACGGCTTTGGGGTGTGAAATGAATGGTGTGTGCTTGGAAATACGAATCCCTCCAGGCAGCTGGTCAGACCATAGTGTCTGAAGAGCTTGACAACAGGGGCAGGAGGCACTCAGGGTTGATGACATTGGGAAAAGGAACTAGCAAAAGAACCCAAGAAGTGGCAGCCACTAATGTAGGAAGAAAACCAGGTGAATGTCCCCAAGCACAGAAAATTTTAACAGAAGTCCAGGTCTGCTCTGGCATGCATCCCAGCCCTGCCACTCACTGCGTGACCTTGGGCAAGTGCTTGCCCCTCTCTGAGCCTAGGTTTGCACAGTAAAAGAGGGAAGTCGGTGGGGAGGAGTCGGGGTCAGGTGCCCGGACGGGGGGCTCACCGGCGGTGGGAGAGCAGGGCGAGCACGGCCAGCAGCAGCAGGATGAGCACGAGGATGAGGGACAGCGTCAGGATGAGCGGGTCCAGGTCTGGGAGACGAGGAGTGGGGTCAGGGCGGTAGGTTTGCCTGGTGTTTCTCCCCAGCCCCTCCTCCGCCCCTGCCTGGGTGGGGTCTCACCACTAGCGGTCACCAGCGACGCGGGCTCTGACCAGGAGCTCCAGAAGCCCCCGAAACTCGGCTCGGCCATGCGCGCGCGGACAGCGAACGTGTAGCGCGTCTGGCCCCGCAGGTTGCTCAGCACGCACTCGGTGCGGCCCTCCAGGATCTCCACCTGGGGGCGGGGCCCAGGTGGGGGCGGAGCCAACGGGGGCGGGGGCGGGCGAGCAGAGAAGAGCACTTCAGGGCGGACCCTGGCATGACCGAGCCAATCAGGGAGAGGAAGGACAGGGGCCAAGCATTGCATTGGCAGCAACGAGAGAAGGGGCGGGGCCCAAGAAGGCTCAGGGCCAATCAGAGCGAGGATCCCAGGGAGCAGAGGGCCGGACCTGGGCTATTTAAAAACCCGGCCAGAGTTTCTAAAAGGAGCCCGGCGTTAGAGGTGTCGGAGTTAGGAACTAGGGATCCAGGGGGCTTGGGGTTCAGGCGGGCTGGGGCGGCGTGGGGACAGGGGGCATGTCTGTGGGCAGGGAGCTTCCTTGGTCATCAGGGCAATGGGACGTGGGCCGTCAGGGGTGGGGTCGAGAGGGGCGGGGCCGTGGTGACAGTCCGAGCGGGAATGCGAGAGGCTCGGCGGGGCGTGGTCAGCGGAGCTTTGGGGGCAGGGCGGTAGGGACAGGCCTCACCCTCTGCGCCCCCCCTTCGCCGTTGCCGGCAGAAACGTCCACCTCGTAGCGGATGTGGGTCGTCATGGGTGCCCCAGGCGGCGGCAGCCAGCGCAGCACCACGTGGCCGCCCTCGTCGCCCAGCCGCGCCAGCAGCCCCACGGGCGCGTCCAGGAGCACTGCCGAGGTTGCGGGAGGTTGGTGCGGTGCGCGGGGACCGCGGCTCGCCCTGCCCCGCCCGCTCCCTCATTGCGCGCGCACGTACCCACTTCATTGATGTGGATGATACGGTGATAGCGCAGGGCGCCCGAGGAGGCCACTGTGACCAGCAACTCTAGCGGCACGAAGCTCGACGTGTCGGCCGTGGGCAGCGAGCACCAGAAGCGCACCGCGCCGCGAGCCGTGGGCGCCTGGTTTAGGCGACACGGCTTCCACGGCTCACCCCTGTGTGCCCAGGGACCCGGGAAGGAAGGGAGCAAGTCGGGAGGGGAAACCTGGGAGTGTGCTTGCTTTGCGCGGACCGTGGGGGCCTTTTGGATACTACCACGAGGGGGCGTCCCAGCCCCGACGTGGTGACGTCCTAGCCACGGTCTGGAGGGGTGGTTGTCCTGGCCCTGAAGTTTAGGGTCGCCTTCCTGCGGTGGTCAAGGGACGGTTCCAGCCCCCGCCGATCGGGGGCGTGTCAGGCCTGGCCTGGCGGGCTGCCCACTAGTGACCACGGCGGGAGGCGCTCTCCCGCCTCAAGCAGCGGGGACTTCCGAGGCTGCGACCTCCGGGGAACTGCGCCCCGCCCGCCCCTTCCACCGTGGGGGCTCCGACTCACTCGAGCTGGTAGGAGAAGCTGTAGTTGCCGGGGCCCACCCCAGCGCTCGCCGCTTCCTCCCAGAAACACACCAGGTCCTCCAACCGCTCGGTGAAGCACAGAAGCTCTTCGGGCCCGCGGGTCGCCAGCAAGGCTGCTGGGGTGGGGGGGACAAACGGAGGGGATCAGGGGGGACCGAGCCTTTCCTCTGGCCACAGTCCCCTCCCCCCGCCTCCCGCCGCCTGCGCGGACCCGATAAGAAAATAGCCCTGCCTCACCCTCTCTCCCAGCGGGGCCCCTCGAGGGGTCGCAGAGGTGGCGCCCCCCGAACTGCCAGGGGCGGCTTGCTCGCCCTACTGTCCCCCCCACCGCCCCCGACACACACACGCCCACCCCGCGGCGCGCCGGGCTGAGCTGGGCGCGGCCTTCAAGACCTCAGCCTCCCCGGCTGCCAGCCCCGCCCCAGCCGGGGACGTGCGCGCCCAAGATGTGTGCGGAGGAGGCGTGTCCCCTATCGGCCCCGGCAGGCGCCCAGCCGCCCGATAGCGCCAACCGTGCGCCCCGCTCCCCTCCCTAGGCAGGGCCGGGCGAGGGCTCTGGCGCCCGCACGCAAACCGTGTTTACAGTCGCCTGCAGCCCGGCCCCTCTGACTCCCACCCTGGCGTTCTCCCCTCCCCCTCACTGGAGGGTCTCCTGGGTCCCTTCCCTTCAGGGACACCAGCACCGCGTCTGCTCCTTTAGGAGTTAGCATGTCCCAGGCCCCGTGAAAAGATAAAGCAGGACCCTTAAGCCCCTCTCTAGCTTCTCCGCCTGGAGACCTAGACCCTCGCATGCCCCGTCAGGACCCCTTCTAGGGGTTCAGATGCCAGCTTGGCCACCAAGCCCCAGTCTGGAGATTCAGAACTGGGCAAGGGCCCCAGGTCCCACACTGGGAGTTCAGGCCCCAAGCATTGCCCTCCAGACTCCGGTGTGGGGGCCCACACGCAGCTCCATCCTTACCTTTGCTCTCAAACTTGGGGTCTGGGAGGTTGAGTGGGGGGGCCCAGGCGGCCCCAGCCAGCAGAAGGCAGAGGGAGCCAACCCGGGGCCGGAGGGGCGCCCCGACGTGGTCCATGGTGCAGCCCCCGCCACGGGGGTGCCCGGGGCTCCTGCCCCTCTGCCCCCCGCCCTTGGCACAGCCCACAGCTGGGTCAGCAGCTGCCTCCGCCGGACACAGCTGACCAGACCCTTCGCGACCAGGCGTCTCCAAGTGGCAGCTCCCCGAGTGGGCGGGGCCAGCACTCAGCCCGGGCAGAGATAAGCGCCTGGCGGGAGGGGGCAGGGGCCCTTCTGGCCCAGAGGCCACTCGTTGGGGGGTGCAGGGGGGGCGTGGAACATCTCCCGTTCTGCCGTCAGACGCGCTTTTTTGCTATGTGATCCTGGACAGGTGACTTACCTTATCTGAGCTTCAGCTTTCTCATCTGTAAAAATCTAGCCTGGCACATAAACAAACATTCCAAAAAATGTAAGTTACTGATATTATCGCACTAATCAGCGTCACTTCCCAGTCCGAGAAGAAATAAATAATCCTTATAACGACGAGCAGGTGAGTGAGTGCTGGCGCAGGGCGAGGCCGTGCTGCCGGACAGTACGTACGAGACGGTCCTGCGTTTGTAAAAAGGGCACATCCTGGAGTCCAAGATTTCGTTTATGAGTTTTTGAAACAAAATTTTTTACTGCTTATATCTTTATACTATTGGCATTTTATTTTACGAAGAGTGTGCAGTTCTTTTCATAATCAGAAAGTAATTATGAAAAAAAACAGTAAAAAACTATTCACTTGGGCTAAGTTCTTCAAATTGGGGTAATCACCTGCACAGAGGTACATGCGCGGGGGGGGGGCGGGGGGGAGGAGGTAGTTTTCTCACTGCGCATGCCTGACCCAGGCTAGCCAATCAGACCACGGCATTCCCTGGCGCACTGTGATTGGTTCAAAGTGGGCACGTGATCCAAAGGGGTCCAGTGAGCCTCCATTCTGGGACTTTAGTTGCAGCTACCGGAAAAGGGGCGCCTCTTTTCCACTGGGCGCTGGGGCGGGCGGATGGAGTAGCCAGGAGCATCTTTGCCACCAGGAGAGAAGAAATTACCTGATGGTGAAGCTAAGGCAGGGGTTTGCAGTGCTCATCTCCTCTGCCTGGAAGCTCTTCCTCTAGCTCAGGGGTCCCCAACGTATATGGTGATTTGTATAATTATTTCATTATATATCCCTATGTAATAATAATAAAAATAAAATGACAATAAATGTAATGCGCTTGAATCATCCCGAAACTATTCCCACCCCCACCCCACCCAGGTCCATGGAATAATCGTCTTCCATGAAACCAGTCCCTGGTGCCAAAAAGGTTGGGGACCGCTGCACAGACACTGTGCTCATTCACTCACTTTAGTCAGGTTTCTGCCCAAATATCACCTTCTCAATAAGGCTTCTCCTGATCACCTCCTGATCACCCTGTGAAAAATAGCAACCTCCCACCCCACACTTTCTGTCGCTATTAAACAGATTTTTTTCTTGCCGCCACTGTTCTTATTGTCACTTGACATGTATTCGATGTTTTATTATTTATTTGCTGCTCTCACTAGTACATGAGGGCAAGAATTTTCCACCGTTTGTCCTTGCCTGTATCCTCAACACCAAGAACAGGGCCTGCCACATAATAGAAGCTCAAGAACTATTTTGAGGAGTAAAAGATTAAAGGAAAACCAAGCTAACAGATGTAGAGGGGCAGTTGATCTTGAGTTAGCCCCTGGGTCCACTGGGTCAGAGGTGAAGAAGATAGCGATGGTTTCAGGATAATTCAAGTACATTACGTTTATTGTCACTTTATTATTATTACATTGTAATATATAAGTGCCTGAATAACCCTGCACTTTTTAAAAAAATGGAAGTCAATGAGAATCTCTTCCTCAGGAAATTGGCATTTGGACTGTGTGTGTCTTGAGTGGGACAGAGCCATGCCTCACCTAACCCCTGTCTTAGGGCTCTTCGTTTTTCTCTGCTTTTTTGGTGTCATAGTTGTTTTTTATTTTGATAAAAGGTGAACATGGCGCACAGGCAGAGAACAAACAAGACTGAGTCACGTTTCGTAATTTCATTCATTGTTTTCATCCACATCTGTGTCTCCAGCAGTCATAAGATTTCTCTGGGGAGAGGTCTGAGCCCCAATGCCCCACTGCCCTTTATGTTCATGAGCTGGAGCTCCTCATGGCTTCTACTGGGGACACAAGGTTTCCTGTAGAACCACCTCCCATCCCCATGGTGATAGAAGCCAGGTCCCAAGCTGCCCTTGGGGTCTGTGCCCTGGAGGAGAAGGTGACCTCAGTTCAGGGAGAGAGAAGGAGTGTGGCCAGTCCCCTCTTTCCGCCGCAGCATGAAGTCTCTGGGGGCGACTGGACTCATTGCATAGAAGACGTTGGCATTGTCAGGGATCAAGAGCTCTGGTCAGAGGTGGAAAAGACAGTAATAAACCCAGACAACCTTGCATCCCTCCAAAATAAGGACCTGGGTAATCTTCTATCATTCGCCCTAAGGCCTGAATAGCCTTGGGTCCCTCTGCAGCCAGTACTGAGCCAACCTCATTCTCCTCTCCTTAAGAAGCTGAACACCTTCCCATCCAAAGCCTGTACAACCTCATGTTTCCCCCAACATAAGCCTGGGGAACCTCCTACCATTCCCCCACTCTACAGAGTCTAGAAAACCCGCACTACAACTTTGGGAAAACTCAGGCTACCCCACCCCACCCCTGCAAGCACTTCCCTGGCCAAGCTTAGGCTGCTGTCACCATGAACTTGGACAACTCCCCACTTTCAGCCTGCACAAGTTTGTGGCCCTCACACTTGACACCTGAACAACCTCATGTGTTCTCTCTTAATGTCCAGCCAACTTCATGCCATGCCCTTCAGCATGAATACAAACAACCTCTTGCTTCTCCCTGTCAAAGACTGGACAACCTCATGTTCCCCTATCTTAAGTTTAATGCCATTTGGCCCTCTCCCAGCTCAAGTTCAGATAACTTCAGGGTCCCTGTGGCAAGCCCGGACAAACTCATTTCCTCACAAATCCAAGCCTGGACCCCCTTCAGTGTCTTCCCCCACCAGGCTGAGTCTGAACAACCTCGTGAACCTACAAACTTAAAGTCAGACAACTTTCTATGCTCCCGTCTCTCGTGTGACCCTGGATAATCTCATAGCCCTATACGTCCTAGGAAAACAACCTTCAGTGCCCCTCTCTGTCACATTGAGCCAGGCTAACCTCATGGCCCTACATAACTGAGCCACAGACATTTTAGGACCTCTTATCCCCACCTTCTATCTTACCCCTACTCTGTGCCTGAACCACCTCATGGCCCTGTGAGTCCCTTGATCTCCACCCTTGACCCTGGTCAGCCTGCCGCCTTCCCAGCTGCCCCCCAGCCTGAGCTCCAAGCTGTCCCTGCTCACCCCTGTCCCCAGGAAGGACTTGGAAGAGCTGGTAGTCACGGGCCCAGGGCTGGGGCACGTTGTGCTTCTGCAAGGCTCGCAGCACCACGCTGGGGGCTTTGTCCTGACTAGTAAGCTGGGAAAGAGACGTGGGAGGTGAGGTGTGAGGGCCCCATCCCCAAGGGTGGGGCTGTCCCCAGCAGGCCCCAGGCCTAGGCTCTCACCAAGATGCTCCGATACAGGTTCCCATGGTCGTTTTCGATGCTGACACGAATTACACGGGCTTCTGAGCTCTCCTGTCCCAGGACAGGGATTCGAGGGCTGCTCAGTGTCAAGGCCAAGGGCCGAGGGCCTGGCAGGTCCGGGCTCAGGGGCAGCTGTAGGCAGTGGGGGTTGGGGGCTGCAGCCTTGCTCATCTGCAGATGCTGAGGGGTGGGAGGGCAATAGCATCCCTCCCCCACTGCTGTATTTGTTTTTATTTTTTTAGAGATAGGATCTTGCTGTGTTGCCCAGGCTGGAGTGCAGCCTGGCTCACTGTAGCCACGAACTCCTGGGCTCAAGCGATCCTCCTGCCTCAGCCTCCCAAAGTGCTGGGATTATAGGCATGAGCCACTGTGGCTGGCCCCCACTGCTGTATTTAATAGGCCCACATTTATAATCCTGAGGACATAAACTACAAATCCCCCTACACACACACCCAGAGCCTGGCACTCACAATTAGGGTACACACACAAGCCCACACAGACACCATCCCATCACATACAGACCTAGTTCCCTGTCACCAAAACAAACACATGCACGGCCCGTATACACACAGACCCACGTTCACATGCGAGAAGTCCTGCATACACACATATGCTCACAATTGTTGTATACCCACAGCGTGTGTCAACAAATAACCCTACACAGAGTCCCGTGGACATGCACATCCACAGTTCCCCTTTATGTAGGCAGATTCCTAGGGACACGCGTGTCCTCAAAAAAAATGTGCGATTGTACCCGGGAGTGCCCTGTGGGTTAGCAGACCCGGGTCCTGATATGGGCACAGGCGAGGTTGGTGGGTAGGTGATCGCTCAAACAGGGTCGTGGAGATATGCTCGGAATCCACTAGATGGCTACCCGGAGTGCTTGGCCAGTCTGCTGGAGACAGGCCTGGCCTTGCGATCCTGTGTGCACTGCACACGCGCATGCGCGCGCACACGCGCACGCGCAGACACAGAGCCTCGTGCCCGCAGTCCCACACGCACACACAGGCAGGCTTGGTACCTTGGTGCTGGGGCCCTGGGGCCCTGGAGAGGCCGGAGGACTGCCAGGAGGAGGGTCCTTGGTTCTAGGACTCGATGGGGGGGACCCTGGGGACAGACTTGGGGGAGACGCAGAGCCCGAGGTGGGGCGGTCAGCGTGGTGTGGCCACCCTGCCCCCTGATGGCGCCGTCTCTCGTCCCTTCGCCAAGCAGCAGGCTCACCTAGAAGTGGGCGATGGCGGGTCCCCGGGACTCCCTCCAGGGGACGAGCTTTTCTCTCGGGACAGCTTCCTGCGGGGGGATGCGGGGGTGAGCTGAGGCGGGAGCAGCTGCCCATATCTGCCCACGGCACCCCACATGCCCGAGGCTCACGCGCTGAGGCGCTTGGTGAGGCTGATCCGTCGCCGGATTCGTGGGGAGCTGGGGCAGGAGGCGGCTGGTGGCTCGATGACGCGGGACACTCGGTAGCTGAGGGGTCAACGTGTGGAGGAGCGTGGGGTGGCCCGGGAACCACCGGGCACGAAGAGGTAAGAGTGAGAATCAGTTGGGAGATGCATT